CCAAGTATTCTACTTATATATTTAGAGAGAAGGAATGAATTGGATTCTGACTAGCATCAGCAATTACACATAAATAATTAATATACTATTCTAAGTGTCAAAACCTATTTTTTACATCATTTATCTTCTTAGCACTCAAGATATTTACTTGACATCTTTTGACTTCTTTTTCCTTTTTTTCTGTGCCTTCTTAAGCATTTTCCTCATCTTGAAGTGTTGCCAAGCACGTTGGATTATTCTAGCTGCATGTTCACGCCGGAACTCTCTCTGTTGCGAAAAAAAAAATGATGTGTATTAAGTAAGTTTCTTAATGCACTTCACTTGTAAGATTATCATCTTGATATTCTAATCAGTTGAGTAAAGACCAGGAATTAAGATTGAAGTTTTGTGTGTAAAGATGATGAAGCCACAACACATACCTGCATAGCGGCCAACCTTTCTTCCTCCTTCCTCTGTTTCTCTGCTTCTATATCTTGGTATCTCTTCTCCATTTCTTTAAAATCAAGCTGTCAAAGACATTTTACAATATCACCAGTGTGAATTATACAAACAATATCTTTAGATAGCTCATTATGTATGAGTTATCATCTGTTGGATTTAGAAAAATGCAAAAGAAAAGAGAATCAGAAACAAAGAAAATATATAGATCCAACATATCTCACTGGAAATTGGACAAGTTCACCCCTGCTCTTATCTAGCCTTGTTCTTCTTCCCAACACTATGGTTTTTTTATATATATATAATAGGTATGGGTTAATGACTTTCATATATTCTGTGTATACCTCAAAGTGGAGCATTATATGTTTAGTTGTGAAAAATCTTCACTTAGAAACCATTTGAAGCCATATAGCTAGTAAACAATACCTAGCAACAATAAAACAATCACACCTATTGACGTGGTAAAAAGCTCACCAAACAACCGCTAATGACATTTAGAAATAAAGAAAACACCAAAAATATTTACTGTCATGATCTAGTTTCTGAACCTAGTCCTTCCAATCTTTGCACCAGTCTACATAGGTAGGAGGGATGACGGGATGGGTCTGAGGCTCAAAGGGCATGGTGTTGTATGAATTTGCTACCTTATTGTTAATCTGTGTATGAGATTTACCATTATATAAATGATATATAATATCAAAATGATAACATGATACAATTTTGTAACAATCCAGGTATTTTATGCTGTAGACTTGTCCCCTTGAAACAAGTTGTCAAGCAGTGCATCCACTTGCATGTTCAGCTGTCCTGAACTATCACCTTCCCAGGTTACTAGCAATCTTCCTGAATGGCCCTGAACATAGAGGAGCAGAAATTTTTCCCTCCTTGAAAGATTTGTACTACTGTATAATAAACATAAGAGTAAATTATACACCAGGTCTTGTTTATGTAAAAAACAAAACAAAATACATACAAACATTCTCTGTATTTCAAATGCCTGGGGATGTCCCTGGTCAAGATGAAAGAGTAAAAACAGCTCATGATTCGATCAAAAGGCAGACAGCAGACGGATCAGCACTTACAAACCTGGAATTTTTATTTCTTTTTCTTAGGTTCTTTATGTAGCCTATGTAGTCAAGTCAACTTTCATAAGTACCATCTTCAGTATCACATTCTCATATCCTATGTAAAATTTGCAATTCTCCAAATAGACTATTCCTGCCACATCAAGCTGCCAAAGCACAATGAACAGACAACTGCAAGTTCACCAAAAATCTCCAGTCTCAGCTTCCATGATTTTAATTAATTAGTTCTAAAAGAGCTGATGAAGCTACATAAGGAACTATAAAAACGAAATTATTTTGAAAACTTAATAAACTAATCTCAAAGTGACCAGACAAATATACATAGGCAAGCCAATATTGCATACATATTCAAATATTGCCTTTAAAGCATGCCATAAAAGACGTACAAACAATAGCAAAAAAGGAAACATGCAAATAAACCTCAAACAATCCTTGATGCAACTTAAGAAACTCAAGACATGCAACCTTTACACATGAAAACCATATACCCGCAACTTGCTGCATCCCCATCCACTCTAACCTCATCCCTTAACTTATCAGTTAACTGTACAAAAATCAGAAGCTGTCAACAAATACATTATTCTCAAAAAAAAAAGAAAGAAAGAAAAAAATTACATCATCTTTAGTCCTCATCCTTGCTAATTTTACAGACTATATTCATTTAACATCAATGCAGCACTCCTCCTCATGACTGGCTTTGTGTGAATGTAAATCCTCTTTTCATCTGAAATGAATATATTCATCCATTCAATTCTCATGAATTATATCTTAACAATTCATACTAAAAAAAAACAATGAACTATTTTAATATTGACAACATATATACTACATGGACTTTGGACCAAGCAATCATGTGAGATGCAATAACCAGCAAATGAAAAACATCAACAGACATCTCAACAACCATGACCTCACAATATCAGGCAATCCACCCACCAGGCAGGGATCCATCTCAAGCTCCTCACAACAGGCTTAATCGATCTTCCCAAGCCACGACTTCCTAGGTCGTCCCACAGGTCTCCTCCACCCAGGGTTGTCTCATATAGAGACTACCTGGTGGCCGGGATCATGCTAGGTGACCGTATAGCCTAAGTTGGAGATCACAGACTGGTCCTCTGCCAGTCTGACAGTGCAACCGCTGGTTGGACATGTGGTCCTGTCAACAGTACCCCATTATCCAGCGCAAGGATCTATTAAAAAAGGCATCAAGGCAAGACTTAAAGACACAGGATAATGTCCAGGTTTCACTACCGTATAGCAAAACTGGCAAAATCAAGGCCTTGAAACAGCGTAGCTTGGTCCTTCTGTAAAGGTACCTGCATCTCCAAATACTCTTGTCGAGAGAGTTCGTGACCCCTGCTGCCAAGACAATCCGTCTGCTGACTTCCTGGTCTGACAGCCCAGAGTTATGAACTACACTACCAAGGTATGTAAAGCTTTCTGTCACTTCAGTGTCTTCAACGCAAGCCCATACCAACTGAACAGGTTCTCCTAGCAAGTCTCCAAAGTCCTGGATCTTGGTCTTGGTCCTAGAGACCTCTAGACCCAAGGGCTTTGCTTCATTACTAAATGCATCCAGAGCCACCACTAAGGCTTCCAAAGACTAAGATAGAATAGCAATATCATCTGCAAAGTCAAGGTCAATAACCCTGATACTGCCCTGAATGGGTGGGTCTAGCAACAGAATCTTAGCACTACCTTCATCCAAGAACTATTGGTGGGTCAACCTGGTACAACTGCTTGAAATATTCAGCCCAACACTCCTGCACTGCAACACGATCTGGGACGATCTGGCCACTTAATAAGCAAACTGCAGTCACCTGTGAAGTAGGCTTGGAGTTCAGCTTTCTCAGGGCTTGGTATGCAGGACGAAAGTCATTTACTAAGAAATGGCCTTCGACCTCCTCTGCAAGACTCCTAATTAACTGTTCCTTGTTCCTTCTCAGCAGTGACCGAGTTCTGTGCACCTGAGAATGGAGCAAATCCTGATCCCCTGTTAGACGAGCTGCACGACAAGCATCTGTGGCTTCCAGTGTCTCCTGCGCTATTAAATTCTGTCTTGCTCTCGGGAGTTCACCAATCAATTCTTGAGCTGCATCAAGTGTTTAGTGCTTGAAGGTGTCTCACAGAAGTACAAGGTCAGTCAGATTGTCAAGTACTGTGAAACGACCAGAGACTGCCTCAGCAAACCCCTGGGCACACTTCCTCTCCCTCAGCCTGTCCAAATGGAACATCCTAGGGTAATCACTAGACCGCTGGGGAGTTTTGAAGTGGACCCGGAGGGTAGCCACAACCAATCTATGGTCAGTACCACAGTCTCGGCACTCCTATACACCCTGCAGTTCTGGAGGATCCTCCAACGAGTGCTAACAAGTATGTGGTTGATTTCCTTGGCTGCACTGACCGCATCGCTGTAGCACTTCCAATGATGTGGGTCTGAGCGCTGGTACCAGGAGCCAGAAATTCTCAATTTCTGGGACCTTGCAAAGTCCCGGAAAAGGAGGCTATTCTCGCTGCTGGCATCAGCTCCCGAACCATGACCAACAGACATCTCATAGCCAGCTCGATCGCAGCCACACTGAATTCACCCATTATTTGAATATCTCACCGCGGACAACTGTCTGACACATTTCTTTCATCCATCCACTAAAATTACAGATCCTACAAGGAGAAAGTTCACTGTATTTTTTAGTTTCTATAAAGGTATCTATATGGCTATACAAGAAAAAATACAATTTAAGTAATGATCTTGTTCTCTCAGCACTGGAGCACTGACTAGGAGTATATACCAAGACAACATAGATGGCTACAAGTGCTCAGTCTTGATTACTATGTAACTGGGACTTTGATTGTTAAAAAAAGGGACATCTTGTTTTGCAGACTATCAAAGGCTCTATCACATTTACATCTATGCATAAACTTGATACCATACATGCTATTTAAAATGTCTTCTTTACTCATAAAAAAAATCTTTCTAAGCAGACTTACACATTTCTTCTCAAGCATGAGAGTAACATGACTATCTTCTGCTCTTAGGCCATCCAGTGTTGTTTGCAAACTGCTCATAGTGGCATCATACTTCCGGATCTGGAGCATAATTTGATCCTCCAGGTCTTGTCTGAAAGAAATGCAGTTTAAATAAGGATCCTACTAGTTGTTCAAAATACAGTTTACTTTGTTTCTGCATTTTACCTTTTCACTGTAGGTGCTGTCATAATTCAGCCCCACCACAGATGGCATTAAATGATGCTGTAGCACAGCAAAGAGTGAGCTTATTTTTTACTGCAAGTTCAATTATCATCCAACAAGCCAAAGTGAAGGAATATGGCTGACAGAAGTTTACTTAAAAATTCAAACTTTTCTTACTTTTCATAATGAAAGACAAAGGGATGCGCAGACAACTTATACAGCGTCTACATAAAACTATCCATTCTTACAAAAAGCCAGTAAAAATAACAAGCCCCTCCCATTATCAAATATATTCATGCCCATCATTTTTACCATCAGTCATCAATATGCATCAAGTGCACATTGTCTCTCAGTACCTCTGAATTACAATGTATTCTCTTTTACTCCCTAAACATTTAACAACTAATGAATTATGTACAACAAACAAACTTTGCACATTGTAGTGTCACATTAGTTTATCTTTATTTCTAGTATGACTTTTCAGTTCTTTGAAAAGATATGTACAGATTAATTGTTAATTTTTTGCTTCTTTGTTTTATGCCTGTGACTACTTATACTGGACTGTGGCATTTACCCTGCAGTATTTTCATTTCCCTTTCTCTAAAAAAAATTATCTTAGCCCCTTAACTAATTACTTAACATATAACAAAATATTCTAAAACAGAGCTGAGAGCCATATCAGTAATGTCAATTACTCCCGTCCTCATGCTTTATTTTCTTCAGGTATTATCTAATTTCTCACTGGAAATATAGTTCTGTGTTCTGTGTCTTACCTCTTCTTTCTCAGTTGAAGTTCCAATTCTTCATGTCTTGCCCCATGTGAAACCATTGCCGAAATGTTCTTTTCTAGGTCTGTCTTCAGGTCATCTAGGGATATTTTGCTTGATTCTCGCACTTCATCATATTCTTCACGTAATGCTGTCCTTATAGTAAAATATAAAATGAATGTCCCCCCAAAAAGAGAAAAGGAATTCACATGCAAACATATACCCATACATGTAGGCACATAATAACAAATAAATAATGAAACAAACAAATTTACATAGTACTTTGATTGCCAACAGTATTTTGCTCTACCTTTATTGATGACCAGTACAGTTGCTGGAAAGAAAAATAACACCAAGCAAGAAGTCCTATATATCTGATTATTATGGAATAATGTACAACTTACATAAAACAATAGCATATCTAACCTGCAACTATTGACCATCTCCTCTTCAGCTGCATTAAGTTCTTCCAACCGTTTTCTAAGTGAATGTATAACATCTGTTCTCGTCCGAAGACTTTCTTCCCTTTGAGACTGCATCTCTAGGAGGCAGTTCTCTAGGCGACTGACACTTTCTCCAGAATTCTACAAAAGAAATATTATTATTGTTATAAATATACCGTTTCTTGTTGGGGGAGGGGCAAAAAATCAAAATACCATTGAAAACTTTACATTCAAGAAATGGGAGAATGTGGCCGTTGACCAACATTGTCATCTGCATCATTTTTTGGCTAAATTTTAAAACAATTTCAAGGGGTGAGAGGAAGTGATTTAAAAGAAAGACCAAACATAAACCACTGACACCAATATACTGGACTGGTCACTGTGGTTTTGATTTGTCAAATTTGTATACATGAGATGTCTTTGGAAGCACTTAGTCATCAAGGAATCAATTACATACCTCATTCCTTGAATTTCTAAGAAAAGATGTTTTACTTCTAATACTATGGATAACTTTAGATACTTTAATATCTTCAATAGCTGTTACACTTACTTTCCCTAATTCCACAGACAGAAGAAGAATATACCAATATAACTTTATACTGCTATTTTACTTTAGCTACTGAAATGAACACTGGTGAAAGTCTTACCGACATTCTGCCCATTAAAGCTGCCATCTGTGTAGCATAGAGGTATTCCAAGCGAGGACTGAAGTAAAGGCGATGGTGGATCAGCTTTTGAAATTCCGCTAGCATATCAAGTAATGCCGACTCTGAAAAATGATAATCCTGTTATTGTTTATAAAAGAAAAAGAAAAAGAAAAAAGAAAAAAGAAAATGGAAAAAAAAAAAAAAAAAAGTAAATCACAATCACAAACACACTTCCACACCTGCTCGATCCTCAGCTGAAGTTGTTTTACATGTTAAGAAAGGTACTGGTATTTGGCTGCAAGACTCTTGAGTGTCTATCTGCAGCTGCTCTACCACACGCACGACTGATGCTTTCTTTCTGATTGAACAAACATAAAATTCAAATAATTAGTAGAAGTTAAATGCTGAATATAATAACATACTATTAGGTTAAGGGGATCAAAATCAAAATCACCTAGTAAGTCTACTGACATCTGGTTATATTTAATCTTTTCTCATACTGCATAAATATGCATATATCAATAGAAAGTATGTAATCATCACAATAAATGCTCATAAAAATGTAAAAAAGTAAGTAATAGGAAGAGATGGAGAAGCTAAAATGTGATGTCCTGTAGTAGCAGTTTTAATGAATCAGCAATAGGAAACATTAAAAGGCTTTCTTTATTTAACATTTTTAAATATCTCATTTGCTTCATATGTAGTCTAATAATAATTACCTATCAATATGCTCCAGACTCTCTGTGCTAATGTTATCTCCTGCTTTTGTGGCCTCTTCCCCCATTGTTGGAGTGTCAGTTTACAATACAATCTCCCTGTAGCTTACAAAAATACAATATTCTTGTTTTCTTGAATCATCTGAAAAAAAAAAAAAAAATAGAAATGGAAATGGCATACCTTCTCATCACTTTTACTATTAAAATAAAAGTTG